CGTCGAGGGGCGGTAGCGCGCCGCTCCTCACTCCTCCTCGTTTCCTACCACAGAGGCTCCCCTGCAGACTCTCCACCTGGACGTGTGGGGCCCAGCCCACGTCCAGGGGCAGGGCCACGAGCGGTACTTCCTGCTGGTAGTCGACGACTACACGCGTTACACCACGGTCTTCCCCTTGCAGCGCAAGGGAGACGTCCCTGCTGTTTTGATCCCCTGGATCCGCGCTGTTCGTCTCCAGCTCCGCGAGCGCCTCCACTCGGAATTTCCTGTCCTGCGTCTGCACTCCGACAGAGGTGGTGAGTTCACCTCCAACCTCTTGCGAGCCTACTATGAGGAGCACGGCATCCGCCAGACGTTCACGCTTCCGGCCTCTCCGCAGCAGAATGGGGTTGCTGAGCGCCGCATTGGCTTAGTCATGGAGGTCGCTCGTACCTCCATGATCCATGCGGCTGCCCCCCATTTTCTGTGGCCGTTTGCGGTCCGGTACGCCGCACATCAGCTCAACCTCTGGCCCCGTGTATCCGTGCCGGAGACTTCGCCCACACTACGTTGGACGGGGGAGGTTGGCGATGCATCGCGATTCCGGGTCTGGGGTGCTCGTGCCTTTGTCCGCGATACCACTGCGGACAAGCTCTCCCCTTGCGCCATTCCCTGCGTCTTCCTTGACTTTGTCCCTGACGCGCCTGGCTGGCAGTTTTACGACCCCGCCTCGCGCCGTGTCTTTGCGTCTCAGGACGTCACATTTGACGAGTCGGTTCCCTTTTACCGTCTCTTTCCCTACCGCACTGCCCCTCTCCCCCCCCCCCCCCCCCCCCCCCCCACCGCTCTTTCTCGCTCCAGGTCCTCCCCAGGTAGACCCCCTTCCCGCTCCAGGTCCTGCTCCTTCAGGTGTGTCTCAGGTAGACCTTGCTCCCCTGACTGAGCCGGTTGAGGTCACTGATGACTCAAGTCCTACTGGGGGTGGTCCTGCTCGGGGTGCTACTTCTAGGGGTGCTGAGCCTGGGGGTGCGGAGCCTGGGGGTGCTGAGCTTGAGGGTGCGGAGCCTGGAGGTGCTGAGCCTGAGCGTGAGGAGCTTGGGGGTGCTGAGCCTGAGGGTGCGGAGCCTGGAGGTGCTGAGCCTGGGCGTGAGGAGTCTGGGGGTGCTGAGCCTGGGGGTACTGAGTCTGGGGGTGCTGCGCCTGGGGGCACTGAGGCGCCTGGTGAGCAGTCTCCTTGGAGTGGCCGCCTCTGTAGTCGCTCCGCTGGTGCCTCGCCGCAGCACTCCCGTCAGCGTGTGCCTCTCTCCCCGCAACAGTTGCGTGAGTGGTATGTTAGCCGTCAGGGTCGCGCTACTGGAGCTGGTGACTTTGCTACTGGAGGCGCTTCTACTGGAGTTACTGGAGCCACTGGTCCCGGAGGTGCTCGTACTGTAGGTACTGGAGCTGCTGGGGCTGGAGGTACTACTAGTTCAGGGGGTGCTGCTGCTGGAGACACTGAGGCTGGAGACTCTGGGGCTGGAGGTGCCGGTTCTGGGGGTACTGCTGCTGGTGGCGCTGGTCCTAGAGGTGCTGGCGCTGGAGGTTCTGGAGCTGCTGGAGGTGTTGGTACTGGAGGTGCTGGCGCTGGAGGTTCTGGAGCTACTGGAGGTGCTGGTACTGGAGGTGCTGGCGCTGGAGGTTCTAGAGCTACTAGAGGTGCTGGTACTGGAGGTGCTGGCACAGAAGGTTCTGGAGCTTCTGGAGGTGCTGGTACTGGAGGTGCTGGCGCTGGAGGTTCTGGAGCTGCTGGCGGTGCTCGTGCTGGAGGCACTGGAGCTAGAGGTTCTGGAGGTGCTGGAGCTACTGGTGCTGGTGGCACTGCACAGCCGCGACTGTTCTTCGCTCGGCCGTCACCTTCGTCTCTACCACCGCCTGGCTCCGTGCTTCGCCAGGTACTTAGCCTCTCGTCTTCTACTAGTCTTCCGTTATGGCCTGGCTCCCCTCTCCCTGCTCCTTCTCCTTACACTGAGCAGACAGGAGGTCTTGCTGAGCGTCGTGAGCCTGCGTCTCGTCCTGTCTCGCCTGTTCGCATTGTCCGCACTGGTTGTACTGGTCGTCGTGTTCCTCGTGAGCGTCCGCCAGCTGTCCCCGGCACGCACCTCATGGCCCTTCGTCCTTCCTCTGCTCCGCAGCGTGTTCCCCTACCGTCCCCTCCTGCGTCTTCTCTGCCAGACGTTCCAGACCTAGAGTCTGACCGCGCTCGTGCTGCTTCCCCTACTGTCACACGTCTACTTGCCACTGTTGTCACTGACCCTTCGTTTGAGTCCACTGCTGCGTCTGCTTTAGTCGCTAGCTTGCTGACTTTGCTGCTGCCTGTCGTCTAGACTACGCTGCTAGTCTTGTTGCTGAGTCTGAGTCTGTCTGTCCTCCGTCCGTCGGGGGTGAGTGTGCTCTTAGCACGGACGTCCTTGAGGACAGGCAGGAAGACTTTGAGTGTCTTGCGGCTGCTCTACCTCATCTCGTGGCCATGCTGCTCGCCCCTGAGGGAGACCCGGATGCTTCAGACATCCGGACCCCGCACTCTTACGCTGAGGCGATCGCGGGTGAGTACTCCTCTCAGTGGCAGACAGCCATGGACGCAGAGATGGCATCCTGGAAGTCCACATGCACTTACGTCGACGAGGTTCCCCCTCCTGGGGCGAACATCATCGATGGCATGTGGATTTTCAAGGTGAAGCGGCCGCCGGGTTCTCCGCGTGTCTTCAGTGCTCGTTACGTTGCACGAGGCTTCAGTCAGCGACAGGGAGTTGACTTCTTCCAGACCTTCTCCCCCACCCCGAAGATGACCACTCTTCGGGTGCTGCTGCACGTCGCCGCTCAGCGTGACTACGAGCTTCACTCTCTCGACTTTAGCACAGCGTTCTTACAGGGCAGTCTGCACGAGGAGATCTGGCTGCGCCGCCCACCTAGCTTCACTAGGTCGTTCCCTCCTGGTACCCAGTGGAGCCTCCGTTGGCCGGTCTACGGTCTCCGCCAGGCGCCTCGTAAGTGGCACGACACACTGAGGACGACGCTTGCGGCTCTTGGGTTCGCCCCTTCCACTGCTGACCCGTCGCTGTTTCTGCGCACCGACACTTCGCTTTCGCCGTTCTACATCCTCGTGTACGTCGACGAGTTGGTATTTGCCACTGCTGACACTGAGGCTCTCGCCCTGGTGAAGTCGGAGCTGCATAAGAGACACACGTGCACATACCTGGGTGAGCTGCGCAGTTACCTTGGCTTGTAGATCACCCGGGACAGAGCACGCCGCACCATCACACTGAGTCAGTCACACATGGTGCAGCAGGTCCTTCAGCGCTTCGGCTTCACCTGGTCCTCGCCACAGCCCACTCCTCTGGCTACAGACCACTCGCTCTCAGCTCCACCTTCGGACGAGTCTGTAGAGCCGAGTGGTCCGTACCCAGAGATAGTGGGCTGCCTCATGTACCTGATGACCTGCACTCGACCTGACCTTGCGTTCCCTCTTGGCCTTCTGGCTCGCTACGTGGCTCCTGGTAGGCACCAAAAGGTGCACATGGATGCTGCTAGGAGGGTACTACGCTACTTGTGCAGTACATCGGGCATGGGGCTCGTGCTTGGAGGACGGGGTGACGTTGTCCTCACTGGACACTCTGACGCGTCTTGGGTTGACGACCTGGCTACGCAGCGGTCGTCACAGGGTTACAACTTCAGCCTTGGCTCCGGCTCTGTTTCCTGGCGGGCCTACACACTCGTCTTGTGTTCTTAGCTCCAGTTGTGAGGCTGAGATCTACGCCACAGCCATGGCTGCACAGGAGTTACGCTGGCTCACCTACCTGCTGACTGACTTGGGAGAGCGGCCTCGTTCTCCTCCGGTTCTGTACGTAGACAACAAGGCCGCCATTGCCTTGTGTCAGGAGCACAGACTAGAGCACAGAACGAAGCACATCGCTCTGCGTTACTTTCTGGCTTGAGAGTTGCAGTAGCGTGGTCAGCTTCGTCTTGCTCACGTGGCCACTCGGGCCAACACTGCTGATATATTCACCAAGGCACTTCCGTCCGGTGATCATCAGCGCTTTTGTACTTTGTTAGGTCTTGTGCCTACGGTTTTTCACTTGCTGTAGGCTTTGCTTGTACTGTGATCTACATATATATACCTGCATGCTTACTCTTGCTAGGTAGTGATCACTGTATTGCTGGTGTTGCATATATACCCCTGCATGTGAATTGGCCTTGTGGCCCTCTGCTTGTGCTCGGTGTGTGTGGTGACGTTGTGATCCACCCCGAGCTTGTTTTGCTTTTCTTGACAGGTCTTGTGACCCCTTGTTCTCTCCCACTTTGCCTATGGGGGTGTGTCAAATTATATGCCTATGTTATAATGATATGTAGGCTTTAGTGGGGTAGCTAATGTAGGGTATAGGTTTTTTGTTACTTGTACCCAACTCTCTCGATACTCATGCCAACCTTTCCCTTTACTCTCGACAGTAACATCATCCAAGAGGTTAGCTTCAACCACCACCCTCGGTTTGTATATCATCTTTTAGTAACACAGCAGGTATATCAGGTTGACCCTGGCTCAAACCCTCCTGCATGCACACTCCAGCAGCAGTTCAAATCCTGGGACAGTTGTAGGAGGGAAACCTCCTGCTACAGTAGGGTACTTCTGCACACTCCTGCAGCAGGTTCAAATAATGCTGCAGCAGGTTCAAATCACCAGGCCTGAAAGCACAACCCCGCCGCCTCCACCTGCCCACAAGCCTTCCCACCATGGTTTATGGTTGGGCTTAGGGAACGGCTTGAGAATTTCTATTTGCGCACCGCCACTTATGCCATATTCAGTGTCTCCTGCTTCCATCACACCATCCCCTGACGGCACAACAACCCCACCTTCACCTACCCGCAAGCCTTCACGCCTTGGTGCACGGCTGGGCTTAGGGAACGGCTTGACATTGCCCTTGGGTTTGAGCTTAAGGCATGTACTTAAGGAACCCTTTAATGCGACTGGGTCCTTGCCCTAGAAAGGAATGGCCTACTGTTGCCCCCTGTGTTGCTACCCCCACTTCCGTTGCTGCCGCTCCCAGTTTGCCCTTCTCTTCTTCTCTCTTGTTGCGTCCTTGTATCTTGTTGCCTCATTTCTTGATCTCCACTTCTGGGATGCTGCTGCTGAGGAGGAGGAGGAGGACGAGGACAAGGACGAGGAGGAGGAGGAAGAGGAGGAGGAGGAGGAGGAGGAGGAGGAGGAGGAGGAGGAGGAGGAGGAGGAGGAGGGGGGGGAGGAGGATGAGGAGGAGGAGGAGGAGGAGGAGGAGGAGGAGGAGGAGGAGGAGGGGGAGGAGGAGGAGGAGGAGGAGGAGGAGGAGGAGGAGGAGGAGGAGGAGGAGGAGGAGGAGGAGGAGGAGGAGGAGGAGGAGGAGGGGGAGGAGGAGGAGGAGGAGGAGGAGGAGGAGGAGGAGGAGGAGGAGGAGGAGGAGGAGGAGGAGGGGGAGGAGGAGGAGGAGGAGGAGGAGGAGGAGGAGGAGGAGGAGGAGGGGGAGGAGGAGGAGGAGGAGGAGGAGGAGAAGGAGGAGGAGGAGGGGGAGGAGGAGGAGGAGGAGGAGGAGGAGGAGGAGGAGGAGGAGGAGGAGGAGGAGGAGGAGGAGGAAGAGGAGGAGGAGGTGGTGGTGGTGGTGGTGGTGGTGGTGGTGGTGGTGGTGTCAGTGGGACGTTCTTGCAGAGAATGATTTTGTAGAGAGTGGAGCACTGAGTGTGTGCTGTGAGAGTGTAGGCGATGGACTAAGGCTGAGAGGAGGGCGAGCTGGTAGGGAGACATGGAAGCTAGTTAAGCTTGTCAATCCTTTAATAAATATTTCCTCTATATTGCAGCTCGCCTTACAAGCTTCTATGGCTGAAGGGGGAGAGAACAGGAGCGACACTATAGAAAGGAGAGCTGTGAGAGTGTGGGCGATGGACCGAGGGTCGCGGAGGGCGAGTTTGCAGGGGGGAACGGGGAGAAAAGACAATGAGAGAGGCGCAAGGAAGCAAGAGAAAGAGGAACGGCACTGTAGAGAGCGGAGCTCTTAGTGTGTGCTGCTGTGAGAGTGTGGGCGATATGAGCCACTTAGGCTGAGTGGAGGGCGAGCTGGCAGGGAGACAGGGGGAAGGAGGAAGGAGGGAGGGAGGAGGCAAAAGGAAAGAGGAATAATATGTGAGGAAAGAGGAAAGAAGAGTGGAGCTCTGTGAGAGTGTAGGCGATGGACTGGGGCTGAGAGCAGGGCGAGCTGGCAGGGAGATGAGAGAAAGGAGGAAGGAGAAGGAGGAATGCGGAAAGAGAAAAATGAAGCGATGAAAAGGAAGAAGGATGGAGGAACACAGAAAAAAAGAGACCGGGGCTCCGAGGGATGCTGTGAGAGTGTACGAGATGGACTGAGGCTGAGAGGAGGAGGAGTTGGAAAAGACAAGGTAAGCAATAAGAGGAAGAGGGGAGGATGAAAGAGGAAGAAGAAAGAGGAAAGATGAATGAAGAAAGAAGAGTCCGGAACTTAGGATGCGTGCTGTGAGAGTGTGGAGTGAGACTGAGAGGAAGGGGGGCTGGCAGGGACACAAGGTTTAGGAAAAAGGAGGAAAGAGATTAGTGGAGTGATGAAATAGGAATAAAGAATGACGAAAACAGAAAGAAGAGGTCGTGGCTCTGAGTGATGCTGTGAGAGTGTGAGCTCTGAGTGATGCGATGGAGTGAAGCTGAGATGAGGGTGAGCTGGAACGGAGGCGTGAGGAAAGAAGGAACGAGGGGAGATAAAGAAGAAAAGGAAAGAGGAATGACATTGTAAGGACCGGAGCTCTGAATGTGAAGTGTGAAAGAAACAATGGGCTGAAGCTGAGAGGTGGGGAAGCTGGCAACGGAACACGGGGAAGGAGGAAAGATGACAAAGGAGAGAGGAAAGGGGACAGATGAACAGGAGAAGAGGAGGGAGAGCATAAGAAGAGAAGAGGGAAATGGGTTCCTTGGTAGGGGGGAGAACAGGAAGTGGTTTCTGTTGTACTGTGAATAGTGCACACACCTCTCTTTGGAGTGTACACACAGCTGTTCCACCAGATTTCGAGTGTAACAGTGCCTATTAAGGGTATTCACAGTGAGAGCGAAGGTTCCTGTGGTGGCAGGCAGGCAGTAGGCTGGTGTGTTTTGAGTCAGCTTAAAGCACACATGTGCTAGAGTGTATATACGGTACAATTACCCCCACTGAACCTTTCTGGGGCATCCATCCACAGCTAGAGAGCAAATGTGCCTGTCGTGGCTGGCGCCATGCTGGTTGGGTTTGAGTCGTCTTCTGCACACCTGCGCTCGAATGCTTACACCGTACAAATATCCCCATGTTACCTGTCTGGTGGGGTGCCCACAGTCAGAGCTAAGGTACCTGTAGTGGCTGGCTCCATGAGGGTTGGGTTTGAGTTATTCAAAGACCTCACAGTAGCTGTGTTTGATTGCAGAACCGTACAGCTAGCCCTGTCTCCTCCCCTCCTCCCCCCCCTCTTCCGCCCTCCTTTACCTATCAACAGTGAGAGCGGAGGTTCCTGTGGTGGCCAGTACCAGGCTGGTGGGTGTTTGAGTCAACTCAAAGCACACCTGTGCTTGAGTGCAGACCGGTGCGGCTACTCCCCACTCCCCCCTTCTCAATTCACTCGTCAGGGGTAGCAACAGTCAGAAAGAATGTGCAGGTGGTGACTGGCGCACAACACTTGTGGGCTTTGGGGCAACTCAAAGCACACCTGTGCTTGAGTGCAGACCGGTGCGGCTACCACCCCCTCCTCCCCCCCGGCACACACACCCCGTCCCCTCCTCCTTACTGAACGACGGGGGGTTAGATGGGGAAATGGGGGGTTAGATGGGGAAATGGGGGGTTAGATGGGGAAATGGGGGGCTAGATGGGGAAATGGGGGGTTAGATGGGGAAATGGGGGGTTAGATGAGGTTGAAATGGGTGTGGTAAGAGGAAAAGGTGGGTTGGTGAAGGAGGTGGGAGGGAAGTGAGAGGAAAAGGGAGGGAAGAGTGAGCAAGTGCGGACTCAAGAAACAAAGAGAGGGAGCAGATCCGACATAAAACAACCGACCAGAGCACTTGCTTTGTGTTAAAACAGTGGCAGAAGAGGTTCAACACTGCATCTGCTTGTAACGAGGACATACTTTGTAACAATGACCGCAGGCCAAAGCAGTGTGACAAGGAGCAGCACGCAGAGCAGCACTGCGGGCACACACACAGGGTGGACAGGAGGATGAAGTAAGAGGGAATGACGAGGCACAAGGGACGGTGAGAATGAGAGCTCGAGTGTCTTTTGAGTGTGCTTTAGCACGCAGAGCAGCACTGCCAGCACACAGGGTCAACACAATACGACGGAACAGGGAATGGTTGTTACAATCCCAGGTGGGACTTAGCGAAGGATCGCTCATGGTTGATCGCAGAGTAGTATTGCAGCGGAAGTTTTGAATCTCAGGTCAGAGTGAATGTAAATGACTGAGTTGATAAAAGCATGCATACATCGGGTTTATATAAGAATACAGGGGAATACAAAAAGACCTAGACTAGCCATGTACTTTAAGGGGTACATTCCCAAATTACAGAGAAGTTCAAACTGTGCGGCGCGGGAACCCGTTTCAAACCTGTTCCCGCTCTTTTCTCTTCGAATGTTTCTGCCTGCATCGGTCTTGGTCAGACGGTTGCTGCGTCGCTTTGGCTCTTCTGACTCCTCGACTTCGTACTCGGTAGAGTCGGCTCCTGCAGCATACAGGAATGCCTTCTCATAAAACTTCATATCGTAACACTCCCCTTCATTCCTAGGTGTAGGAGGAGCTGACTCGCTTGACTACTCCGGCGAGGTCAGAGCAGTGCTTGTACTGCTGACGTGGCAGGCGCTTGGTGAGGAAGTCTGCTGCCATCTCAGTAGTCGGGCAGTAGGCGAGGTCAACTTTTCCTTGGTCAATTTCGTCCTTGACGAAAAAGTATCGAAGTGCGATGTGCTTCGTGCGGTTCACGAAACCTGGTTTGTTCGCGATCCTGATGGCACTCTGGTTGTTGCAGTGAAGGCGAAAGGTAGGCGAGGTTGGAATTTTCGCCTCCTGTAGCAGCTCCTGCAGGTACAAGCCTTCACGAACTGCTACTGTCGCGGCGATGTATTCTGCTTCAGCCGATGACAAGGCAACCAGCTCCTGCTTCTGCGAGTTCCAGGAGATTGGCCCAGTTGGTTCCAGGCGAAAAACGAACCCAGTTCGGGACCGTCGATCTGCAGGGTCTGCTGCATGATCTGCGTCCACATAGCCGTTGAGGTTGAAGGAGGTCGTCGTCAGCGTGGAGTAGGAGAGCCCAATGTCAGGTGTGGAGATGAAGTACTACAGGGCGTGCTCCAGGTCCTGCTGGTTCTCAGCTACTGGCTTGCGGGAGTACTGCGCCAGTTGGCTGGCGATGTACGAAAGGTCGGGTCGGCAGGTGAAAGAGGCAAATAGCAGGCATCCCAATTTCTGCTCGTACATTTGGAGGCCTGCGGGTGATAAAGGTTTGTTGTCCGGTTTGTAGTTGGCGCTGGGGTTGCAGTAGGGGGTTGAGAGTGGTGCGGGTGAGATGTTGAAGCGTTCCCCTAGCTGCTCTGCGTACTTGGAGGCTGACAGGTGAATTGCTTCTGGCGCGTAGGTGATGTTCAGGCCCAGAAACTGCTTCACACTGTGGTTGATGGTGATGTCCACGCGCTGCGCTAGGTTCTCCTCAAACTGGTTAAGGAGCTTGTTGCAGGCTGTGAGAGTACGACGGCTTGTGCCAGCTATGCTTGCTTGCCTTTACTTTATTATGCTATTTCTAGCATAGGATAATTATATGCATGCATGAATTGCTTGATTTCCTAGGCTAGGTGCTTTCCTATATTTTATTATAGTTATAGCACCGAGCTAGGTTGCGTGCACCGAATTCTGGTTTTTCGGTAGTCACCGAATTGCCTTCTACCGAATTCGGGAAGGCTCTGTTCGGGACGCTTCGCGACCCTCAGAACCTTCGCGTAACACCTGGTTACTGGGCCTTGTGTCGAGCCTATATATAGCCTCGTGTTGTATCCAGGTGATCATTCAATTACAATTCTCTTTTCTGAGCTCGATCCTAGATCCTCACACTTGGTAATCAGAGCCTGTTTAGACGCGAAGTTTTTCGACCGCTAAAACCTAGCTTTTAAAACCGCGGGGGCGACGACGGAAAGCGCCGATTTCGGGTACGTAAACCAGTTCCGCGCTATTTTTTAACGTCCCCCTCGAACCGGTTTTCGAACACTCCTGAGGTCCAGTGGCGAAAAGTTGGATTTTCGACCGTCGGATCGATTCGAATCTCAACGGCCCTGAGAATTTCGCCCAAAACAGTTGGAATTTGGAGCGTCGGATCGAAGTTCTTCTCAACGGCCAAGATCGAACGCGAATTTCAACTGAGGGAGAATAACGCGACGTACAGAATCATAGCTCGTCATTTCTACAGTCGATTCGACCCACAGTAAGATGACCAGCACCTAGAATTTAATTATTTTCGTCGCAAATCTTCCTGTAAATCGTCAAATGGAGGAAAATGGTGATAATTCCGTACGAAAAATCACGGAGTTACACACCGGCTTGGACCAGACGCGAGCAGCACTCCAGCAAATAGAGGCGCTTCTCGCGAACCAGTCGGCAGCCGCCATAGCAGCAGCGAACACAGCAGCGAATGCAGCAGCGACGTCAGCAGCAGCAGTGGCTACACCGACACTTCACCCAGCAGCAGCGGCAGCAGCTACAGTGAAT